GTTGCTAAGAAGGTATTTTACCTTGTGTATACCTTCAGCAAAAGACATCTTGGAATAATGTCATGTTCTTGTATCAATATTTTTAAAACAATGTTGAAAAATTGCACAGGGTGCAAAGAAAAAAGGTGCAAACATTATATGAGGACTGGAGAAATTGCTGTAGAAAATCAAAGATCTATATCTGTCTTGGCTGAAAGAGAAAAAGAAAGATTATTATGTGGAATAAAATAAGTTTCATAGGAGAAAATATTACATACAAAAGGACTGTTTGGCTAAATGAAGTAAGGCATTATATAAACTAACAGCTGGAAACCAAAGCCAGCCCAGCTCAAGCTGGAAGTGAGGACAACTGAAAGCAGCTGAGCACAGCAGCAAAAGTCTGCAGCAAGGGCTGGATTCTCCATCCGCCTCCTTGTATCTTTCAGTTGGGAAAGTGTACCTTTCTGGAAACAGCACAAGTCTCCCTGGGCTTCTAAAAAAGTGTATTATCAACACCATGAAGGTCCCTTCTGGCTAAAAAATGCTTAATCCTTTTATTGAATATGATGTTCACTGCTCAAGCTTTTGCACCCTAGGTGCTGGCAGGCTGGCACTGGATATAGGATTTCCAGGGAAGGTGAGCAACAAATATGGCCGGCGCTATCATGTTTCCATGACTTTTTTGTCCCAGTCTTTCTGAATGTGGATGTTTTGTTTAATGATGTGTTTGCTTGTCTAGTGAAGCCATTCATGGTAATACCCAGTTCTTCTTTTGTGAAAGGTTTCAGCTTAGTTAGGAGGTAGCACTGACTTTCTTTATAAGAACATTTTCAGAGGCGAGTTGTAACTTTCTGCATCTCACTGTTTATTCAGAACCCATCATTCTTTATTCCTAACAAGATTTTCTTTCTGCATTTCTGCTGTGAACATTACCAGTGTATGATTGCTGGAGTAGGCCCATGCCAGTGTTTTAATAGTACACAGCCAATTCTTAACACTTCCTTCCTAAAAGTGTGCTTTCCTTCATTGCTGTCATAATTTTCTCTCTGATACATCTCAGCTGTTTTTTCCCAAGCCTTTGTAGTTTCTTGTGTGACTCAACCCACCTAAAATTCTTTAGTTAGGAACAAGAAAAACTATTTCTATATAATTGTAAATATGCAGTGAGATCATTAGTAAATATAGTTTCTGACCTTAGTTTCCAAGACAATTTCCTAGACCTTGGTTTCCAGGATAATTTCCTATACCAGGGCTGATTTCACAGAGAAGGCAAAACCACACCAACACTTTTGCATGAATGTTAGACTGCTCTGCATTCAGGCACTGGAATTTGCTTGTGTCTTATGCTGGACAGTTTTACAGTCAAGCAGCTGTTTATAAAAGAAACTGAATTCATACCAAGCCACATTAGACCTGATTCCCCTAATGTATACTTGAAATTCTGTAAGACCCCTAAATTCAGCCCTCACAGACTGATTCTCCAGGGGACACAAGCCAGACCATCTGCTGTATCACAGCACCTAGCTGCCCATGTTGCTGTTCCACTTCATGTTGTTCTTCACAAGAAGCAAACCTTTAGCCTTGGTGAGTATCAGATCCTGCCTTTGCTGTTGCAGTGATTGGAGAAGGGAGGGGAAGTATGTTGTGTCTTTGTAGTATGTGTTCATAGACTCACCTTCTGAGAAATGGGCTTTTTTTTTGGTATGCTGCACAGTACTGTTACCTTTGACAGAGGCACAGGTTTCTGCGAGGTGGGAAAACTCCCTACCTCTCAGGATCAGGGACATGCAGGGGAAGCAAGGTCCCAGTGTCCCAGGTGAGGTCCCTCCGTCCCTCACTGCAAGGAGCGGAGGGTTATTCTTCAGCTGACTGCCTTATTTTGGATGCCAGCCACAGTGCGAGTCCTCTGTACCATGGTTATCCACTTGCTGCTCAGGAGAGCTAAAATGATAGAGTATGAGGCACATTTCTTTTTTTAAGGCCTAATACCAACCGTTCTTTTCCCGGCCCCCCCCCCCCCCCCCCCCCTTATTTTCTTCTTGAGCACAGACAAAATTTGCCCTGGTGGGGAAAGGAGAGGGACTGGGGCTGAGCCCCACAGCCATGGCATTCCAGGGCATAATGCAGTAGAAAAAGTAAATTTACCAAACAAGAAGGGGCCGGAGGTGGGGGGTGGTGTGTGTGATGTTTAAATATGAATTTTAAACCTTGCACCTAGTGCAGAACAAAATGAAATATGATCATTAGGTCCTGAAATCCGGTTTTGGTGAAGGACAGGCATTCAGAACAATTCCTAGAACTTGAAATACAAAAAATTACATTTTGGGGGAAACAAAATAGAGTCAAACAGTAATTTTTAATTATAAGGATTCTCTGCTAAAAATCATGTAAAGATTTTCCAGGGCTTAATTCAGTGTTCATTCTTTTCAGTTTTATTCCCCATAGTTTTGTAAATAGCCAGCATTGGAAAAGCAAGTAATACTCTTTCTCTCATACTGTCTGTATTTTTTTGCTTTATTGTAAATGCTTAGAATGCACTTTAAAACGCGTCTCTTCTCACAGTAGGTGTGACCCGTACCATGGAGCTGGACGTTTCAAAGAATTTATATTGAAATGAGAACTCGCACCCCTCCTAGGGACCGATCTACCTCCTGTGCATCTCCATCAACGTGAATAGTTCAGACACATTCACCTGTTTAAACCTCTATGTGTCGTACTCTGCAGAAAGCTAGCGAGTAAATCCAGTTTACCTTCACGGTAACTTGCTCTTTTCACGTGCCTTTCCCCTCGGCGTTGGTTTAGTTTCTCTTAAATGCAAAAGCATCGCGGTTCCCGGAATTTGTAATGATTCAAAGTTTCTGGGGAGATTCCTCCTCGGAAGCAACTGAGTTTTCCTTCTTCGGCTCATCAGGCCTTGGCGGTGGCATTTCCCGCGGGTCCCAGGACTCGGTGGGATTTAGGGAGACCCCTGCCTCTCCCAGAGCCCCACTTCCTCCCGGTCGGCAGCGGGGACCCACAAGGCGGAGGACAGCAGGGGCATCCCGGCAGCGGGGCAGCAACGGCACCGTACGTGGTGAGAATGAAATGAAATAAAGAAATGAAATAAAATGAAATGAAAAATAATGAAATGAAATGAAATGAAATGAAATGAAATGAAATGAAATGAAACGAAATGAAACGAAAGGAAAGGAAGTGCAGCGCAGAGATAGGGGCTGCCCCGCCGACCCTCCCCGGGCCCCTCCGGCTCTTCGCCTCCGGTGGGTTCCTCCCGGATACAAAAGTTCCCCCCGCACCTCCCGTACCGCTGCTCCCGGGCAGCCCCAGCTGCAGGAGGGGGTTGTCCCCGGCTCCCCCCACCCCTGCCACCCGCCGGGCGCAGGGCTGACGTTCCCTCGGAGGGCACGGAGTCCCTTCATCCCCGCAGCTTTTGCGGGAGGGAGCGGCGGTATAGGGAGGGAGGCAGGCAGGGGAGGAGGGCGGGGGGGGGGGGGGGGAAGGTCACCCCAGCCGAGCGCGGTCTCATCACCCCTCACTCCTCCCACCAGTGAGTGGTGCCTCTTAACCCCCGGGAACCTCCCTCCCGCGAAGCACGGCTCCACTCTGCAGAACTCTGCAGAACAGGAGTTGATGAGGGAAAAAACACTTCTCGGCGGAGGCCAGCCATGAGCTGTCTGGATGTTATGTACCAGGTCTACGGTCCTCCCCAGCCCTACTTCGCAGCAGCCTATAGCCCCTATCCCCAGGTATGCGCTGGGGGCAGCGGGGAAGAGGCAGAGGGTGGGAGGGGTGTCGTCTGGAGGATGGCCGTTTGGGGCCTTACCAAAAGGAAAAAGGGAAGAGGAGAAGGGGAGGGGAAAGGGGGAGAGGGGGGGGGGAAGATCTGGGAGCCTGCGATGGTGAGCAGAGCGGAACCGCATCCCACCTTGGCGCGGGGCTCGGCAGGGTACGTACCCCGGCGGCGACCGAAGGACTGCGGGCTGCCTCGGGAGTGAGAGCGCGATTTAACCCTGCTGTGGCTTTAAAGGGATTTTTTTTTCTTCTTTTTGTTTTTTTTTTTTTTTTTGTTTTTTTTTTTTGTTTTGTTTTGTTTTGGTTTTTTTTACTTTCTTCCCCACTCCCCCTCCCCTCCCCGCCTTTTGCCGGGACTGGGTCCACCCGAGCGCGGCGGCCCGGAGCGGCGATGGCCGCGGTGCGGAGGGGCCCGGGGCACTGCTCACACGTGCGCACCGCATCCCGGCCGCAGCGGCGGGAGCCACTTCGCCAGAGATGTCACCGGCCACCTTGGAGGGGGGCTCCGGAGTTACCTCTGGAAGTGGCGGGGGGGCGATGGGCTGGGCTGTTGTGGGGTTTCCCCGGCTGGGCAGTGGGGGAGGAAGCCTGCGGTGCGTCAGGGCGAGCAGATGCTCCCCTCTCCAGGGTCCCGCTCGGCGACGGGAGGACCCCGGCCCGTCCCCTGACCCCACCAGGCTCCCGGCGGTGGCGGCCGCTGCGAGACCCGAGGGCGCTTCGTGGCGGGGAGGCGCGTCTGAGCGCCGCTCTGCCGGCAGCTCCGCCGGGCCGTGAGGGAGGAGATCGGCCCCGAGCTGCAATGGAAGGGTCCGCGGTCATGTCGTGCGCGGGGAACTGATCTCCGCGGAAAGCGCTCGGTCCCGAGTGGGTCGGGGCTGGTTTCCCCTGCTGCACCTGCTGCACACCGCTCTCCCTTTCGCCTTCTGGGTTTCTCCTTTTCAATTTCCCCTTATTCCTTCCATAAATTAACTCCTTCCTCCCCAGCGAAACAAAGAAAGGGATGGACAGAGGGAGCAGCACGCAGGGCCCGGGGTGGGCGGCAGCCCCCACCGTGCAGGGCCAGGGCCGGAGCGAGAGGTCCTGCTCCGCGCAGCCCACGGCGTAGTGGCCTGTGTGCTACCTCCAGCGCCTGGCAGCGGGGCCGGAATACCCGTTACAAATAGCAAATGATGTCTTCCCCTACCTTGGCTTCTTCCCTCATCAGCCCCCTCCATCACCCCCCGGCACGCGGCTTCGTGACATTATTTAGGGGGATGATCATTACCTCAATGGCCGAGCCGGGAGCCAAGTGGAAAGGCGGTCGTCACGAAGGAGTGACATTATTGAATATCCCGTGTGTTTTGGCCCGAGGCTCTGCCTGGTCCCCACGGTGCTTCCCCAGCCGCCCGTCCCGCGGCTCTGCCCGCGGTGGCCAAGCCCAAGCTCCGGGTCCCATCGCTTATTCCTGAGAAACTCCCGGCAGCTGCAGACACGCTAATGTGGATAAAGAGAAGATGGGAAACGTCCAATAAACTTCGTAACTGCCGCTGTTTTCCCACCCAGAGGGATCCAGTAAAAACAGAGTAATCTTCTAGGAAATACCTGGAGCTTCTTGCTGGCCAGGGAAATGCTTTTTTTACCCTGAAATGTGTTTGAGGCTGCCACTCTTTTTCTCCCTTCCCTTTCTACTCGCCGCTTTGGGTCACAGGACAGTCTTTGGGGCAGATTTTGCGAGGTCCCCTCTTAACTCCCGCTGCTAGCTCTGGACGGCCGCCGCCTCCCCACTCCCTGCCTCGACCCTTTGGCAGCCCCGCATGAATTTCCACCGTGCTTCTCGTGCGGGACTTCGTTCTCGGGACCCGCGCTTGCTGTCCCGTTCCGTCCTGGTGGGCACCTCTGGGGCTCGGACCCTTAGCCCCTTTGGCAGCCCCTTCGCTGCCTCCCCGGGGTAGGGCAAAAAGGCAGCCAAGGTGTAGGGGGTGCTGCTGGGGCACGGCGGACAGCCGAGGACCAGGCTTCTGCATCTTGTTGGAAAGATCGCGGGAGCGAGCAGGGCGCTGCGCTCCGGCTGGTACAGGGAGGGCCAGCGTACCTTGTTGCGCTGCGCTGCCTGACCGGCAATATTTAATTTCCTTGCTTCCTCCCCCCCCTCCCAGAAACTCGCCTTTTACTCCAAAATGCAAGAAGCCCCGGAGAGCGGCAGCAGCGCCAGCAGCTCCTTCTCCAGCCACCCTGCGGCCAGCATCAAAGAGGAGGACTGCAGCCCCGAGAAGGAGCGACCCCCGGAGGCCGAGTACATCAACTCCCGCTGCGTCCTCTTCACCTACTTCCAGGGGGACATCAGCGCCGTGGTGGACGAGCACTTCAGCCGGGCGCTCAGCCAGCCCAGCAGCTTCTCGCTCGGCAGCGCAAAGGCAGCGCGGAACGCCGGCTCCTGGCGGGGTGAGGGCGCAGCACGGCGCGGAAGGGCTCCGAGAGGCGGCGAGGTCCCCTCCGGGCCAGCACCGATTCTTTCCCCCGCCGCGCATCCACTCTCCCTTCTCCTCTCTCCCTCCTTACCTTCGCCGGCGGCGGGACCCCAGCGGGCTGCCCCCTTTTCGGGGGAAAAATAATAGAATCAACCTGTTCAGGTCACGGCAGGCTGCGGTGATCCTGGGAGATGCAGCCTGGGAGGTGGTGGGGGAACTGAATAGCCTTCACACCGCAGCGTGTGAAGACACGCACTCGGTGACTCACCTGGTGGAGGGACTCCCCCACCGTGGCTGCAGCAACCGGCTTACCTGCTGACCCGGGCAGATTGAAGTTTAGCGCAGATAATGGGAACAAGGCAAAAAAAAAAAGCAAATGTGGGAACCATCTTACCAGCTTCTCATTCCTAAAAAACAGATTGTGTGTGTCCCCGTATCTCACCCTACGTGTGTCACCACCCTGGTTGCTGCTGGAGTTGAGACAAGGACCCTAAATTTCTGAAAATGAGGGCTTTCAGACCTGCCCATGGCAGCAGCCCTGTGCAGACAAGGCCGCAGATGATGTGCAGTTCTTCATAGCCATGCCCAATTCACCCTGGATGGGCCCGTGGGGGTACCCAGGGCAGAGGGGAATAACCTTCCCCACCCTCCACCCATCAGACAGTTAGGACAGGCACTTGTTTTCTTCTGGAGCAGTTTTGGTGACCATCCCCCTCAGGGCCACCCACTCGGCCAAGGCCAGTTTCCCAGCCCCTTCATGAATTGCTGCCGGTAGTTTCTAAGAATGAAAAAGTAGTTTAAATATTTCATGGATGAAAGTTATTCAGTGCTGGAATTGATGGCAGGAGAAGAGAGTTCTTTGATTGTCATGAACCACTTTGCCTTCTCCTGCCAGGGCGCAGAGCTGGTGTATCTCCCTGGCAAACATGTATCAGGAGTGTGTTTTTGTCTCGGAGACAGTTGTCACTGTCTCAGGGATAGCGCAATTAATCCCAATTAATAATGCATAAAACATCTATATGTGCTATTAATAATAACTAGTCTATCTCACATGTTGCTTACCCGGAAAAGAAAATGTAGGGTCCTTCTCCTTTGCCCTGCTAGTCTCCAAAGATCTGCAGTGCTTTCAAAAGGTGTTAATGATACACCCAAGAAACAGGCGTTAGTCCGGTGTAATAGATGAGGAATTGCTCCTAGATATTTAGAAAACTCAGGCTGGCCCTTAGTAGCACCTCACGCTGCTCCTGCCCACAGCAGCCGCTTTCCTTGGCAGGGCCAGAGTGGGCATAAGATTACTACAAAAACAAACAAGAAAAGTCCAACCCTGGACATTGCTGTGATGTGTAATAGCTCTCACTCAGTTTCCACTACTGAGGAAAAGATGTTTTCCTCACCTTAGATAACAGCCTTTTCCCCAAATACATACATAGAGAAACCTGGAGCAAATGATTCCGGTTTCATGGATAAACCCTGGGCTAGGTGTGTTGTATGTTTAGCTGCAGAGGAATCTGTAGCTGTTGGGAGCAATTTCCTGTGTTTGTCAGTTTTGGGGCGGGTAAAGGGAATATGAAGGCTGGTTTGGGAGAATCATAGAGGGGCAGAGCCCTAGAGAAAGGCAATCAGGGCTCGCTGGGTGTACTCATTACTGCCTTTCTCTCCTGCTCCCTTGACCCAGATGGCTCCTTCCCAATGAGCCAGCGCATCTTCCCGCCATCCTTCTGGAACAGCACGTACCAGCCCTCCTCGGTCCCGGCCACCCTGAGCAGCCCCCTGGCTGCTGCCACTCACAGCGAGCTGCCCTTCACTGCCGCTGCAGACCCCTACGCACCCGCCTCCCTGCATGGCCACCTGCACCAGGGTGGCCCGGAGCCCTGGCACCACGCTCACCATCACCACCACCACCAGCACCATCATCACCCCTACATCGGCACACAGAGCACCGCCTACCCCCGCCCTGCCACCATGCACGAGGTCTACGGCCCCCACTTCGACCCCCGTTACGGCTCACTCCTGGTGCCCACCGCCTCTGTCCGTCCCCACCGCCTCACCCCCGGCTCCGTGCCCACACCGGTCAGCCCCCCCTGTGAACTGGGCAAGAGCGAGGCGGGAGCTGCCGCGGCCTGGACAACCCCAGGACCCTTCCCCAATGCAGCGGGGGAAATGGCACAGAGCCTCAGCCTCAATGTAGACACAGGTAAAGAGCTGCCCTCTGTCGCTTCGGGTCCACTGGCTCAGTCGCACCCTGCCTCCACACCATCCATAGTAGTAGGGAAAGACCTCCTGTTGTGGGGCAGCTGGGGTGCTGCTGTGGGAGAATAAATTGAGGGTGGAAAGCGCATGGGAGATACATGACCTCTGCACAGTCTCAGGCCAGGCAAGTGAGGATGGGAAGAGGGAGGATCAGGCAGAGTAAGACGTCACCCCACCCTCCCCAATATCCTTTGAGTTTCTGGCACCCAAAACCATGCCCTGGAGGTACAGATTGCTCTAAGGTACTCTTGTCCTGGTCCTGGCCCTGCTCTTGCCTGGAGCAGCGAGAGCAGGGAGCAGGACTGAACCACCGCAAAGGTCACCACCTGGCTTCCCCATAGGTTGCTCTGAAGGCAGGAGAGAGGGCAGCCACAGCAGATTCTGTCGTCATTTCTAGACCCCTCGAAGGTTCATGATCCGCCTCTTCACCTTGTTTATTTTGTTCTTGCAGGTTTTGGGAGAAAAGCACAATTGCTTTTGCTGAGCAAAAAGGGCAATGGTTTTCCCCTAGTAATGGTACCCTGTGCCTGGTGGGGTGCCTTGAAGTAAGGCTGTGTGCTCACAGTGGTGATAGCTAGCCATGGCAGGTCTGAAGTCAGTGGCTGCAGAGGCAAGGAAATCCGCTCTGATCACAGTTCTCCATGCTGAAGTTTGTTTATCACAGCCACAAACAGCTCCTTATGGTGGCCTCACTTCAAGCAGGAGGGACATGTGTGTGTCTCCAGCCTAGCTCAGGCTCTTCTCCTTGCCCCTCATCCTCTCAGAGCTCTGGGGAGCCCAGGCTTCAGACAGATTCTCTGATCTCAGCTGGCAGAAATGTGGTTTGTCTTTCTCTGTCCTTAAATGCCTGTACCTATTTTTCTTCTCTTCCTTTTTTTCTTCTCTCCATTCTCAGGTTTGCAGCCTCAGGATAAAAGCAAGGATCTATACTGGTTTTAGAGCTGTCCTTCACTCTTCTTCCCCTGGCTCTCCCCTGTAGATCTCTGCCTGTATAGACATGGTGGCATTCACAGCTGAAATCGGGTCAGTTTGTAACAGCTTCTGATCTTGGTTTGCAGCTCGCCGTTACTCCTTCTGTGGTGGATCTCTTCTGAGCTGATGTGCTGACACAAAGACTCTCACATCCCCTTTGCCCTTTTCCAAGCCCACCGTGGCCCCGCAGCCCTTGGAAAGACAACAGGACTTAAAAGGACCTGGCATTGCAACGATGGCACTTTGGACTTGTTTCAGAGAGGAAAATCCTTCTCTTGCAAGAAGAGAGCCAAAGACGTTGAACTTCTATTTAAGCAGACCCCAACCCAGAACTGCAGTTAGACTTCTCTAAAAGAGTCAAATGATGTCATGGATGGTGATGCAAAACCACTGGCCTTCGTACAGGGGGCAGAGGAAATCATGGGGGTTTTTTTTAGTGGTGTGAATATTTTTTTATGACGGTGAAAATGATTTCTCGAACGCAGACATGGAAAAGCCACTCAGCAGTTTTGAACTGGGTTTTTATTTCCCATCATAGAAAAGTGAAATGAGGAGAAACTGGAACTCACAAACATTTTCGGACTATCAAGGAACTGGTCAGATTTTTCAGCTTTGCGGCTGTGAGTGGCAAGCGTCTGGCTGGGGCCACCTGCCCTGGGCTTGCAATGATGCAGCTGTTCCACACACAGCTGCTCAAACCCCAGAAAGACGAAAAGCAAGGTGGCACTTCTCAGAGTTCGGCACAACACTTGTGCTGGATATATCACAGTTGTTTGGTTGTGGGCTTTTTTGTTTTGTTTTTTTGGTGCTCTTCTTTTCTTCAAGAAACATTTTCTGGTGAAAGTAAAGCCCTCTTTAAGCGGGGGAGGGAAGGAAACCTGTGAAGAACAGCTCTCCCTCAACCCAACAGCCTTTTAGGGCAACACCAGAAGGAAAGGCACATGATGGACAATAGGTCTGAGTTGCCTCTAATATTTCTCTTTGTCTATTTGTTGTTGTCATTTTGTCACTTTAATAGTTGTTTTGTTTTTTTGAAAAGGGGAATGAGATATCTATTTAACAGTAGGAAAGCTGCATTAAAGGTATCTCCTTCTTTCACCCTGTGTGCTTTTATGAAGAATTAAAGCTAAATAAGAGGAATTAAGTAAAGTGGAAACATCAGAACAAAATAGGAAAACTACCTGCCTTGTGAATGGAGTGAGTTATTTTACTACTTTGCATTAAAGATAGCTAGAAATACTAGCAGTTGAAAATATTTTTCTTAGTGAGTAAAAAATACAGCAATAAGTACAAAAGATAAGAAATCACAGGATTGTTTTGGTACTACATTTTAGTGCATGATATATCTCCAAGATGGGCTGAAGTAAAAGGGACTGTTCCATAATAACAGACGTTTCTTGATGAAGCTGGTAGAAGAGGGAAATGTAGCATTTATCATTGCTATTGCACTGATAAATTAAGATGCTATTACACAGTGATTTATAATTAATGAAACAGTGCAACAGTCACTTCAAAGATGACTTTTTTACAGGCAAAACATCTGATCACAACACTACTCTGTTTTTGAGATTTTTTTCTGTTTTTTCTTAATGTATATCTTCAAAGGCTGACAAAGTTCAATGCATGTAAGAGGAGAGTTCTAACGCTATCCTCTGACACTAGGAGAAGCAGTAGAAAATGGACTTTTGTGCTGTGATGAGAATTCTTATCTTCTGACACTCTCACATAATCTGGCATAATGGTCACCATGTGTCAGAAATGGAGTTATGAATAACTCAAACTTGCTTCTCTTAGATTTCAACTCAGCAATAATTCTATTTCCAGGAAAAAATAGTAAGAGTACAATGAAGAAGTGTGAGTAAATATTGTGATAACTCGGCAAGGAGCAATGTGTGCAGAGCATCTCCGGCCAGAACTCAGCAAATGACAGGAGGTGAACTGCCATGATTCCTCTAGCCAGACATACCCCTGAGCATTTTGCCCTCAGCCTCCAAGTAGCCAAAGCCCAGACAATCTGTAAAGAGCAAGGGAAGGACTCCAGAATTTATATTACCAGTTAAACCAAAAATGTTCTGAGGCTTCTATCAAGAAAGAAGACAGCAACACTTTGCAGGAGAAAGGTAACTAAAAATGGCATTTAACTTTATTGCTGCAGAGGCTTGGAGATAACAGGGTCATTCTGTGAGCATTTGCCTGTGGGGTTTTTAGGCTGTTTTTAAAGGTTTTCTGTGTCTTAAAAAAAAAAAAAAGCATTGATCTGGCTCTATCATTGATTGTGCTTTCCCACAATTGTTTCTTTTTTCTCCCTTTTTTTCCACCTCTCCTGTGCAATTCATAATGAGGAGGGCTGGGCAATACTGCCAAAATATGTTTGGAAATATTAATGTGAGCACAAACCAGTCATTTACTTCATTGGCATTTACAATTCATTTTGGCTGTGAGCGTTTTGAAGCCTGAGAATTTATGCAGTGAATACATGAATATCGGTTTTGACATTTGTTCTCTTTTTTGCTGCTGTATTGTGAAAGCACCCAAACACCAAAGTCAAGATCATGGCTCAAGCTGTTAGATGTGCAAGTGACTTTTTTAAAATGCTCCTTATTCAGATGTTCTACAGTCTGAACACACAGATACCTTATTCTGGCTAATTCTTGCAGAGTTTTGCTCACCCTGTGTTATTCTGACTCCAGGGTGACTACTCACTCACAGCACCTACATTACTGCTTTTCCATGAGTCTTTGCAGACTGGAACCACAGCTCCTGAGGCAGTAACAGTGCAAATAACCTCAGTGCCATTTTGGAAGTCTGTTCTATTCCTCCTTGCATTATAGGTTATTACTTGCTTCATCATGAATGCTTGCAGGAAATCTGGATATACAAAAGAAACCTGTGTGTCTTGTCTGTCACACAGAGAAAGAGCAGAGCTGTGAGTCCCCAGTCCCGCAGCTTGAGGAGCAGATCCTCCTCCTGCCTCTTTCCAAGTGTCGTGCAGAGGTTAGCCCCAGCTTGTGCTCTCTGACTGCTCACTACAACTGATAAACAGAGCCCAGCTGAGGCAACCGAGCAAACACAGCTCTCAACCTGTTCATGCAGAGTCCAGGGAAAAAAAGCAGAGGGGTGTAATCTGCAGAGCATGGCAGTAGTAGGCATTGTGAGAGTATCCACTGCTGCCAAGTGAGGGAGGTTTGTAGGAGTTCACAAAGTGAGCTCTGGGCATGTTCACTGCAGACGCTTATTTCTCATCTTGAAAATAACTGAAAATTAACAAAGCATGTAGGAATACCATTCAAATGAACTCTGAGGTTACCAGTGATCTGTCAAGGGAAGTATGGAAGTGGGGATGAGACGTAATATTTGTCATCTCAGGCTCCACTTCATTTTGATGAGGGTTTTGCTTCAACGTAGCTGCTGATACAAGAATGCATCTGAGAGCTCTTGGATAAGTAGATATATGTGTCCCTGCAGTTACAGTCTAATGTTGAAGAGCTTTAGGGCAACACTGATTACTTCTCACCTCCTTTTGCAGTGCATTTTCTGTAGGATTCCCCAGCAAAGGACAGGAGGAAAAGAGGCGGGGAGGGTGAAAGAGAGCCTGAGTAATCCCCGGCACCTCCCCCAGACTGTGTGCTGCCCATCTCTGGGGAAATGTATCTGCCCTGTCTCCTCCTTGGGTCAGGAGGCACTGCAGTCCCTTCTCGCCTTCCCTTTGAAGTCCTATTTAGGTTCATGACAAACTCTAGCAAGGGCTTAAAGGTTGGTCCCTTCCTGGAAGGGAGGAAAATGCTGCTGATGGCTTTGAATGCAATAGGGTACTCTGACTGGCAGTTCTCATGCATCTTTTTCTGGGCAAGGATTGTAATTAACGTGCCCTTTTGATTACCGAAGGGTGAGCCAGCTCCTCTGGGGGATTGTGGTGTCCTGGCTGGCTTCCCTGGCCTGCCACCCAGAGGAGCAGTTGCAGCAGGGGAAGGAAACTTAAGTTGTGATTATTTGGAGGAGTTTATTATTTTGTAGGCTAGGCAATTTTGCACAGAGAAATGCAAGTAGGAGATCAAAATCCAACTTTTTTGCTCAGCAGCAGAAAAATAAAAAAGGAAAAGAAAAGGAAAATAAAGAACAAAAAGAAAAGAAAAAGTTAAAGAGAAATAAAAAAGTAAAAGAATAAATTTTTTTTTTTTTTTTAAAAAGCTTTACTTCAGTCAACCCCCAAGCTTTGGGACTACAGCTGTGGGAACTCTATTGTTAATTTCGTTCCCAGCATGGTAAGACTATTCTTTAAACTGACTGCACCAACAAGCGTCTCATGCTATCAAGGTTCCCCTGTTCATGTCTATCTTAAATCACACAGAAGAAGTTACCTTTGCAGTGCACCTTCTACTGCCTCCTTAACCAGGCATAATCTGTGCATCAAAACTCTGCGCTCAAATGGAGAGTAATGGAGAGGCACTGCGGTGCCATGTCCCTGTCCTGCTACCCCTGACATCCCTGCACCAGGTCCTGTGGGACAAGCGGAAGGCACTCGAAGAGCCTGGGCACAGTGCAGGGATGCAGGGTGCAAGGGTACACACCTCTGGGCATCATACTCATTCATAAGCAGCTCCCTTGGCCATGCTTGGTTGCAGCCCACAGAACCACAGCTGACCAAGGGACTGGATCATTTCTTTAGGGATGTGCCAGTTGCTGAGCTATATTCATGGTAAAGGCACTGTAAATACCAAATAGGATCTGTCCTCAGCCCTGACTCTGCATCTCACCCCCAATCTGTTCTCCTGCCTCACCCAGTCGCTTCCTACACATACTACTCTGGCCCCACATTGCAGCTGGGAGGAGCAAAGAGCAACATTAGGAGGGATACAGACTTTCCTATCACTGCTGTTTGTATGAAGTTGAAGCATCAGATTTTTCTATGATAAATGGAATTGGACACGGACCCTGTCCAGAAGACTCAGCCTATTGGCCTCAATCCTGCACCATACCCCTGTGGCAGGAACCAAGCCCTAATCCTCCATCCAAGGGAACAACCCTTTTTTGCCACAGGCCAAGTCCTAAAGAGCTGCGACAGCCCCAGTTGCACACAGACTCAAATGATTATTCTCTCTTGACGGACCTGCACAGCTCCCTCCTTGTATTAAACTGCAGTCCCAGTGAGCTGGATCAGGAAAGAGACACTTGATAGCTGCTGTTTCCGTGGTTGAAATATTTGTGAAGTTAGCGCATAATCTGAAAGGAGAAGCTAATAAATTATAGGGTGCTAATTGGGGCCGAACTGGAGCTGTCAGTCATATTATCTTAAACACACAGAGACCCTCATAACCTAAAAAGGCAAGAAAGCCTCCAGGAACAGCTCCCAGTTGTCACTAGCCATGACCTCCACTTCAGTGAGAGTACAGAGAGTCGAGGCAAAGAGTTTATTCTGCTAAGAAAATGCAAATCCTGTGTTTAAGAGGGGGCTTGTATTTGGTATTCTTTACCCACTTTGGGAGTGTATTTTGCAAGGCACATCGTTTTGCTTTGCCACTTAACCTGCTACTCTTGCAGTTTGAAGAAAAACCATGTAAACCAATCAGAATTTGCAATTTTTATGTTTGTATAGTCCTTAGAGTAACAGTCGTGCCTTTTTAGTCACAATCCAACATCTTTACATACAGGCCTATCTTCTAAAAGCCATCTGATTGCTCACATTTCTTTTTTTGCTTCTCCTGCCCCAGAAACGTATATACTAGTTTGAAGTTGCAGGAATCTATGATATGAGCCAAAACACAGCTGTTCAAACATGGTAGCAATAGAGCATTTGCAGCTCTAGACACTTTGTCACCACTTTTTCTTGTGGTGCTTCCATCAAGATCGAGTATTTTACTTATAAAATAATACAAAAATGAACCAAAGAATAGAATTAATTTCTATATGGAGACAGGTAGGCATTTCAGAAAGCATTCCCTGGAGAAAATATCTGAAGAAATTAAAGAGCAACCCAAAAGTCAGGAGTAGGAAAGCTTCATTTCAGTGGCAGTATGACTAGTGCACGCAGGCATGACAACTGAGCTACAATAAGGTCAAACCCTTTCCCTGGTAAGATATCACCCTGCCCTTAGTGACCACTTAAACTTACTGCTGCAAGACTAATGATTATGTGCACAAAGACTTTTAAAGGAATTTCTAAATGTATCATTTTCCCTCCACTTTTATGTCTGTATCAATTTAATGCTAACCTTGAATGCTGGCAAGAAGTAGGACCAACAGTTCCTTCCCAGCTTGCTTCTGTGAAGAGAAATGACAGCATCTAACTGGTGATGCTACCAGTAAAGCCAAGAGCCATCTCTGAGTGGGATAGGCA